AGCCTTGTTGTTATTGCCTTTACTACTTCAATAGGCAAAAATGAATAAATAATTTTTTTAATATGAATAAATACAATAATTTAAAAAAGAATCCAGGGTATATAAACATTTAAACATCATTTATAACTATAATTTCATCTTTATTTTGTATTTTCTTTTGGATTCTACAGCTTGATTTTCTTTCTCTGAAACCATTTGAGAGTTTGCTTAGTTGTGTTTTGGATTATTTTCTTGCTCAAACCGAGCATCAGAACAGAGAAGAAAGATGATTTAAGTGACTTTGAACGTGGTATAGTTGTTGGTGCCGGACGAGTTGGTCTGAGTATTTCAGAAACCGCTGATCTACTGGGATTTTCACGCACAACCATTTCTAGGGTTTACAGAGAATGGTCCGAAAAAGAGGAAATATCCAGTGAGCGGTAGTTCTGTGGGCGCAAATGCCTTGTTGATGCCAGAGGTCAAAGGAGAAAGGCCAGACTGATTCCAGCTGATAGAAAGGCAACAGTAACTCAAATAAGCACTCGCTACAACTGAGGTCTGCAGAAGAGCATCTCTGAACCCACAACACGTCCAACCTTGAATCGGAAGGGCTACAGCAGCAGAAGACCACACCGCGTGCCACTTCTGTCAGCTAGGAACAGGAAACTGAAGCTAAACTTGGCACAGGCTCACCAAAATTGGCCAATAGAAGATTGCAAAAATGTTGCCTGGTCTGATGAGTCTCGATTTCTGCTGCGACATTTGGATGGTCGGGTCAGAATTTGGCCTCAACAACATGAAAGCATGAATCCATCCTGCCTATCAATAGTTCAGGCTGGTGGTGGTGGTGTAATGGTGTGGGGGATATTTTCTTGGCACACTTTGGGCCCATTAGTACCAATTGAGCATCATGTCAACATCACAGCCTACCTGAGTATTGTTGCTGACCATGTCCATCCCTTTATGACCACAGTGTACCCATCTTCTGATGGCTACTTCCAACAGGATAAGGCGCCATGTCATAACACGCAAATCATCTCAAACTAGTTTCTTAAACATGACAATGAGCTCACTGTACTCAAATGGCCTCCACAGTCATCAAAACTAATATCTAATAGAGCACCTTTGGGATGTGGTGGAACAGGAGATTGGCATCATGGATGTGCAGCAACTGTGTGATGCTATCATGTCAATATGGACCAAAATCTCTGAGGAATATTTCCAGAACCTTGTTGAATCTGTGCCACGAAGGATTAAGGCAGTTCTGAAGGCAAAAGGGGGTCCAACCCTGTACTAGTAAGGTGTGCCTAATAAAGTGGCCGGCGAGTATATATATATATATGATAAAGTATAAAAAGTATGATGAAGTAAAAAGTATACAAATATTAATAATATCAATAAAAAGTATAAAATTATTAATAGTACTGTATGTCTTATATATTATTTAGAAATTTAAAAAAAATACAATAAGATTATTTAATATAAATTCCAACGACAAGTCTTGAATTAAGTTCTATAAATGATATAAAAAACTTAAATATTCATATGCATGCAGATACTTATGTATTTATACTCTTTTAGCTACTAACATAATCTAGATTGATACTTTTTTTCTATAAATGGTGTAAAAAAGTTTTTAAAAATAACTTCAAGATATTTCTTATAAAAGCAAGTCCTATTTAAATATGTCTCTCAACTAGTTGCATCATATTTTCAGGCTGTTTCATTTTCTCTGCCTAAAAACAAAACAAAGACACTTATTACGCAAATAATATTTCAAGGTACAAGCTCCTTGTTAAAAGACAAGGCCATGCAAACTATCATTTCCTGCTGCTATTACAGCTCAAATATTAGAGTCACACGGGAAAAGTGTGCGTTCCTGTCTGAAGAAGTGGCGATTCAGTACAGCTGGACTGACTGGAGACACACAGATCCTCACTGCTCGGCTCTGCTTCTCATCTGGCTAATGACAGGGTGAAACCAGCAGCCAGTTATTTCCATAGCAGAGATAGCGAGCCCAGAGAGCCCTCATCTCCACTCTTTAAAGAGCTCAGGCCCCTGTTTAGCAGAATACCAGCACTGTCTGCAATGCTGAACACCTCAGCCCACCAAAATAACAGGAGGATTGTTGTAATTCTGAATTAAGGTGCACTAATTGATTTATGAAAATGAGAAGGAGTCTGATAAATCACATGATTTACACTTGATGTTTCAGTTAGATCTTTGTGTAAATGTATTTATTTGTGAAAACAATTTGTAAAGTACTAAAAGCTCAATACCTTTTTTTGCATGGTGATTTAAATGCAGCCAATTACGTATTTCTATATACATTTCTGGAGAGCGCCAAATACATCCCAGGAGGCACATTTTTTGTAGTTTTTGCAAATCTGCCAGAGGGCGCTGTGTGTGCTTTTTCAGATCTCAAATCTCTCTCGCGAGTGCCATTCACACCTGCTCTTCTCACGTAAATCCACCAGAGGCCGCTATTGACTGACTTACCAACTAACTGACTAACCAACCTTCGCCAGACTCAAACCTTGTCGTCATGGCCAACTCCGCTCTGTGTCTCAAATCCTCCTACAAACTCAGCGAGTCACTGGACAAACTGGTAACAGCGGAAAAGCCACCTATATGGATGTAAGCAGTCATATCACGCAGTAGTGTTCGTTTTAAAGACGAAATGCAGCCATGCATACCTCTGGCTACATAATTTGCGCTCTCCAAAAATGCCTACAGGGCTACGTTTTCAGAATCAGCCTGTGTTGTTTAAATGCTTGTTTTGAACTACTAAAATAGTCATTAAAAGTCAACTTGTTCCAAAATCAAAACACAAAAATTTGAATGCATCATTTTGTTTTCCTTTGGCTTAGTCCCTTATTCATCAGGGGTCGCCACAGTGGAATGAACCGGCAACTATTCCGGCATATGTTTTACGCAGCAGATGCCTTTCCAGCCGCTACCCTGTACTAGGAAACACGCATACTCTTGCTTGAATGCATACATTTACATAAAATCACCTGTTAATCACCGGTCACACAGCTGTTTATTAACCAATATTATTAAAGCTGAAATTCATAAAATTGTACAATTAATGCAAGATAAATTCACAATGTCACAAAAATAACTCCTAATAGCACTTTTTTTTCAATATTTTAGGATGTAAATCGTTTAGCCTGGGGGGAGTTGGCACTGTCGCCTTACAGCAGTCAGTTGGCATTACTGTGTTTGCATGTTCTCCCCATGATGGCGTGGATTTCCTCCGGGTGCTCCAGTTTTCCCCTTCAGTACACAGACATGCGCTTAAGGTGAACTGAATAAGCTAAGTTGGTCTTAGTGGTTGTGTGTGAATGAGAGAGTATGGGTGTTTCCCACTGTTGGGTTGCTGAAAGGGCATCCGTTGTGTAAAACATGGCTGGATAAGTTGCCAGTTCATTCTGCTGTGGCGACCCCTGATCAATAAATGGACTAGGATGAAGGAAAATGAATGAACGAATGAATTGTTTCACTGTTTTTAATTTGGCATGATAATGATTTGTTTGTTTTTTTACTCAGAAATTGCATTTCAATTGTGCGTGAGGAATTCATTCATTCATTCATTCATTCATTCTCTTTTCGGCTTAGTATCTCTATTAATCCAGGGTCGCCACAGTGGAATGAACCGCCAACTTATGCAGCACGTTTTTACGCAGCGGATGCTCTTCCAGCCGCAACCCATCTCTGGGAAACATCCACACACACTCATTTACACTCATACACTACGGACAATTCAGCCTACCCAATTCACCTGTACAGCATGTCTTTGGACATTGGGGGAAACCGGAGCACCCGGAAGAAACCCACGCGAACGCCGGGAGAACATGCAAACTCCACACAGAATCGCCAACTGACTCACTTGAACCAGCGACTTTCTTGCTGTGAGGCACCAGCACTACCTACTGCGCCACTGCGTCGCCCGGGTAGTTGAATTAATATATGTTATTATATTGTTATTTCAACCTGTATGCGTTGTTAATAATAATTTAAATTAATAATAATAATAAGGGGGCGGCCCTGTGGTGCAGTGGGTAGCGCTGTCTTAAATCAAGAAACTTTTTTAAGACAAGCAAAAAATATTGTCTTTTTGAAATGTATTGACTTCATTTTTAAAGAGGCCGTTCACCCAAAAATGAACTCACTTAATAATTAATAAACATAAAATAATTAAGATATTGTGAGGAAAGCTGTTAACATCCACTGCAAAAAAACTAAACAAAAAGAAAGCCTTTCTTACTTAGAGTTTTTTACTTGTTTCTAGTCCAAATATCTAACAATTTTTAAATCCAGAAACATTTTCCAAACAAGCAAAAACATTGTCTTGTTTTTAGAAATAATAAGTCAAAATCAAAAGACTTTTAGAGATAAGCTTCGATTTTTAGAAATAAGCTGGCCATCTGAAACCATTGACTTCCATAGGACTTGTTTTTCATACTATGGTTGTCAATTCTGCAAACATGCTAGTGAGTTTTTCCCTAATACAAGCAAAATAATCAGCCAATGGTGAAAGCAAACATAAATAAATCTTATTTCAAAGCAAAAAATATGTTTATTTTACTTATTTTATGACATTTATATTATATTTAGCTTGTTTTAAGGAAAAACTCACTAGCATGTTTGCAATCTTGACTTCCACAGTATGAAAAACAAATCCTATGGAAGTCGGTTTTAGTTTTCCAGCTTGTTTCAAAACATCTTTTGACTTTGACTTATTATTTCTGAAAACAAGACCATCTTTTTTGCCTGTCTAGAAAATGTTTCTGGATTGGTTTCAGCTTTTCAGCTTTTTTTAAAACATCTTCTTTTATGTTAAGCAGAAGAAAGAGGCTCAAACTGATTTTGGAACAAGTAAAGGGTGAGTAAATGATGACAGAGTTTTCATTTTCAGCTGAACTGTCCCTTTAATAGGATTTCCATGAATGAAAACACTAGCACACACACACACATACACGAAAAACAAACACATAGTAAATCAGACAAGTTCCTACCTGAACTCATGGCTCTTATCACGCCACAACGGTTGTTTGTGGTCTCTGCTTTCCACAGCACAAAGTCTCAATGGCCGTCCAAACACTCCTGAGGAGAGATGGGAAAACTGGAGGAGGTGGGACTGTCCTGCACTGGGGGATTTAGGGAGGAGTGAGGCTGTACGGAGAGAGCAGAAAGTGCACAGGCAAACAGAAAGGACGGACCAAAAAGAGAGATCAAAGAAAACACGGCGTCACATAATGACAGATTGAGGAGATTTTCATTAAAGGCTGTCTATATGACAAAGCCCAGGTGAAAAAAATATATAATTAAATGCAATTAAAATACATTTAAATACCCGCAAATACATTTTTAGTACATTGTTATTTTTGTGTTAAATAAAAGTTTGATGGTTTTACATTATAAATATACTAATTAAAATGATGTTTATACTTTAGTAGGACTTTAGTACACTTGATTAAAGTATACCAAATACTAGTAATATTTAAATAAATTTTTAGTGTACTACAATAAAGTACACTACAGAAAAAACATCCAAAAGAGTTTTATTAGTGTGTTTTTCAAAAGTGTGCTTTAAATGCTTTAAACATTAGTTGATTTTTAGTACACTGTTTACATACTAATCCTAACTTTAAAATAAGTTAATATATAAAAAATCTATTAGTAATGTATTGTAGTAGAAGTTCATTTTCCCAAAAGTTGTACTTTAGTACACTTAATGTAAATGCAATATTATCACTAACACTTAAATTGATTTTGAGTGTGGTAAATTTAAGTTTACCTTAAATTGACTTTATTAAAAATCTATTAGTAATGTATTGTAGTAGAAGTACATTTTCCCAAAATGTCTTTACATTTCACATATGTGCTGTAATGTTGCATCTTATTTAAATTTTTGTGTTCTCAGTTTTTGCTAAGTTTTTGTTCCCTTCCATAAGGTGTTTTTGGACTTGTGGTTTTTTGCACAAAAAGATTAAAGTGTTTTGATGAAGCGCAGATGCTGTTTTCTTTGTACACACAGAATCCCTTCAAACTATATTCTTTAAATAAATGTTTAGTATTTTAAAAGCACATTTTAGATCAGCTTCATGGTGTCTCATAATAGCAGAGTTGAGTACACTTAGATGTACTTAAGTTTATCTTAAAAAGTACTTAATACAAATTATTAGTACATTAAATACAAAATTAGTTTGGGAAAATAGAGCACTTTTAATACAGTATTTAGCACACTTTTTTACATTTTGTATATTCTTTTAATAAATTACTATTATATTTTAAATTACTCATAAATACATTTAAATGTTTAAAATTAGGGTTCAAGTGTATTTCTAGTTGTAACTAAATGTATTTTTAAAAATACAGATATGGTATGTTAAAGGCACATTTAAGTTCAACATCAGGGTGTTTTAAAATAGCACAGTTGAGTACACTTAGATGGTATTAAGTTTATCTTAACATACTTAATTCTATCTTTTAGTACATTAAGTACAAAATTAGTGTGCGAAAATAGAGCACTTTTAGTACATTACTGAGAAGTGTACTAAATAAAGTGCATTTTAGTGCACTTTTTTTTACCTCGCAGAATAGCATGTTTGTTCACAGAAGGTGGGAAATCAGCTAATAAGAGTCTCTAAATGGGTTTATAAATAATATGGACTACAATTGTTGTTATTGTTGTTGCTGCTGCTGTTTTGTTTTTTCTTTAAAAAACATTGGTAACACTTTACAATAACAGTACATGAATAATGATGTATTAATATGTAAACTAAACAATAGCTTATTATGAATTAATGATGAGTTAAGGTCTGCACTAATCATCAATTAACTTTAACTACAACATGAGTCATATGAGTTCATGTGTGAGTGATGACTACCTTAATTACTTGTTAGTACATGATTGTTAATTATTGTATTAATTACCATATTAGTTTATGCTTAATTTAACCATGGTGAACTCATGATATGTTAATGTATAATTATGTTGTGATTTTACTTGGAGGTTCACATCATCATTAACCCATTCTTAACTACTCATGAACTCCTTATGCACGTCCAACTAGTGAGTTTACACTGAATAACCATAGAAAAGTGTTTTGTCAGCATCAACATGAACAGGAGCTCATGAGTAGTTAAGGATGAGTTAATAGTGATGTGCGCCTCCAAGTAAAGTCATGACATAACTATACATTAACAGCTCATGAGTTCATGTTATTTACATTTAGCTTAAACTTAAATGTTAATTAATACATTAATTAACAACATGAACTAACAAGTAATTAAGGTAGTCATCATTCACACATGAACTCATTCTGTAGTTAAAGGTAATTCATGATTAGTGCATACCTTAGCTCATCATTAATTCATAATATAGTAATGTTTAGTTTACATATTAATACACCATTATTCATGTACTGTTATTGTAAAGTGTTACCAAAATATTACTGCCTACAAAAAAAATACTTTTCTTATTTGGAGTTTATTTGGCTTATATATAGTCCAAATATCTAAAAATTATTTTTTCAAATATATATATATTTATATATTGTTATAATATAATATAAAAATTAAAGACTGATGGTTGTTTATGGTATGTTGTTGTTTCTTTAATGCAATGATTTACTATCTTCCGTGGGTTATGAAAAAAATATGGTAATTCAAAAAGTTTCATAAAATTTATTTGAGTTTTGGAAATCACCAAGCGACCCCTTGTCATTGTCCAGCGACCCCCCAGGGGGTCCCGACCCCCACTTTGAGAACCTCTGGTCTAAATGACAAAAAATAGCATGTTTGTTCACAGGAGGGGGGAAATTAGTTGGTAAGTGTCTCTAAATAGGTGTTTTATGAATAATATGGACTACAGTTGTTGTTTTTTGTACTGCATATAAAAAATGCTTTTTTTACTTGGAGTTTTTGTCTTGTTTCTAGTCCAAATAGTTAAAGATTCTTAAATCAAGAAGCATTTTCAAGACAAACAAAAGATTGTCTTGTTTTCAGTAATAATAGTTCAAAATTAAGTGCGTTTTTACTTAGAACAAGTAATATAGTCTGCCATAGCGAAAACAGGATTATTTTGCTTACTCCACTGGCAGATTAATGAGCAAGAAACTTTATTCATAACATTTGAAACTTACCAGAACGTTCTGAGAACATTCCTACATTTCTGTGAGGATTATAGAGGCAAAGGGTCAGAATGACATCTAATAATTTAAAAATAACACTCAAGTATCTGACACTTCCCAACATTCATCTGAGGTTATTGCCATAGTGAGTGTAAAAAGATAAAAAGTCAACAAACACTGCTCTTTCAGTTTCCTTTCATTAGACTGCACAGTTCTGTGTCTCTTCTCATAAAACAGATTCATTGAAGTTTGTGAGAAAAGTCAACAATTTAGTTTGTGGAGTCAAGAAATGTGATTCTTTTCATGTGAATATTATAAAAATAAGCACAATTCAAACAGCAAGATATGACAGAAGCTACCTCAGCTTTAATCTTCATTCGATCTGATTCTCCTGATATTATTATAGAGCCTGCATGTCTGGATGCATCTGGATCAGTAAGGGTGTCAGGGTTAAACTATACGTTATGTGTACCAAACGTATTCAGGATTTATTTCTCTTTAAGTTTTAAATAAGTTCCATAAGTACAAATGACAGTGAAACTATTTCCTTTTAGATTGATTTTATCGACATGTTATTGAAATCTGACACTAGAGGTCGCTCTTGGGAGTTTAAATCACCTCTGATGTACTGTATTCAGAAAAGTCAGGTCAAGCTGTTTATTTATCCTCGATAATAGGCAGGTTATAATTACAGCATACACTCGTACAGACATTTGACAAGACACATTAGGCATATATATATATAGTTATATATAACTATATATATATAGTTATTTTTAAAAAAACATCATACCGGTGACACAGTGGCGCAATAGGTAGTGCTGTCCCCTTACAGCAAGAAGATCACTGGTTTGAGCCTCGGCTGGGTCAGTTGGCATTTCTGTATGGAGTTTGCATGTTCTCCCTGTGTTCGTGTTTGTTTCCTCCAGGTGCTCTGGTTTAACCCACAAGTCCAAAGACATGCGGTATAGGTGAATTGGGTAAGCTAAAATTGTCCATAGTGTATGTGTGTGAATTAGAGTGTATGGGTGTTCCCCAGTGATCGGTTGCAGCTGGAAGGGCATTCGCTGCATAAAAACACATGCTGGATAAGTTGGCGGTTCATTCCACTGTGGCGACCCCAGATTAATAAAGGGACTAAGCCGAAAAAAGAAAATGAATGAAAAACATCATACCACTAAACAGGGTGCAAATTACAGGAACCAGCTGCAACCCTGTACTGGGAGAGAGTTAAAAAAGTTGAGTCAACTAAATAAAAAGCTCTCATAAAAAAAACAAATCATCATACAAATATGTTTTCTGCCATTATTTACATATAAAAGCATTTTTTTCGGGGAGTTGGCATCAATCGATCTATCCCAGGTGGCAAAAAATTCTGGCCCAGAATTGGCATGAAGCTGGCACAGCAGGTATTTATCAAAAGTAGTATTTGGCCCAGATGCTAATAATGGATATGTGGGCCATGTAAGTTTGGCCTCTCTTGACCCACATTTAAAATACATTTTTATTATTTTTGAATAAAAGACAAAAATTCTACCAATCAGGTCGCTTTGAGAAAAAGCACGCCCATATAGCGCAAGGGCAATGCTTCATGGGTTCATCAATTTCATTGCAGTCGTGACACACCAACATATCAGTTCAGCAGTTCAGGCCCAGTTATGGGTTATTAAATTGGCTGAGACTTGGCCCAGATGGTCCATGTTTGGCCCTTGCTGGAAACCAGACTTGGTCCAGTCATGTACTGTAATTCATCGTGGCATGTGGGCCAAGCAAAAGCTGGTTGTGTGGGCCAGAGCTGGGCCAGAGACATTTTACTATGTGATGTTTTCAGCCTGATCTCACGAGAAAACGTAAGTATTTTACGTTTTGCCAGTTTAGTGGCTAATTGTACGAATTCGTACGATTTCAGTCGTACGAAATGATACGATTTTAAAAAGGAGGCGTGGCACCTAACCCCACCCCTAACCCCAACCGTTATTGGGGGATAAGCAAATCGTACTAAATTGTACGAATTAGATCGTACGAATTCATACGAATTAGCCACTAAATGAAAAAGTTACGAATTGCCGTGAGATTGTGTTGGATGTTTTATGAACAAATTTCGGGAGGAGCAAGATCAGTCTTTGACAAGGCTAAATTATCACACACACACAATCATTCTATTATCCAATCAGCTCAAGTAATCAGCAAGCCACTATAAATAGTCAAACACGTCATACCTCCGTTTTCCCTCGACTTTACCGTCCTTCCACCACCCCAACTCCACACTATTAAACCAGATACCTATTTTATTCCGAGGGGGGTGCGTTCTGGAGCCGGGCTAGACACTGCGCTCGGACCCTATCTCTCTTCATCCTGATAAGGGGAATAACACGAGTTAGAGCTCAGAGCCCTCTCCCCAGACAGCACCCCAAATATGCATATTCTCTTCAGTCAAATATCTGTGTGAACTTCTGAAGTGGGACGTGTTTTGTAAAATGCAAGCCAAGAAATGAAGCAACAGTGACATCTATTGCTCAAACATGCAGCCAGTTGCAAAATGAGTGTCAAGGTTATGAAGAAAGGCTCGCGCTTGGTACTATGTTTGTGCCAAGAATGCAAACCTTAATAACTGGAGATGCAAAAGAGCACTATCCACTTACATTAAGAAAGGTACGAGCTGAAAAGAGCTCTTGATTCCGGTGAAAAGTACTCGAGCCTCAAAAGAAAAACAAGTGAAAACTGAGAGCACAAAGCCTGTCAAATGGAGTGTGACATTCCTGGCTTTTCTGTGGGAAAGTGGTAATTGCTTCTTTTTTTTTCCTTCCTCACTGTTTGGCTGTTGGTTGCATGGTCCTCCCCACACACTAATGAGTGAACAAGACTCTGCTGTCTACATGACTTGCTGACCAGACTGTGTGGGAGAATAAGAGCTGAATCTATCCGCCCTTTTACTTCTGCAGAATGAGGTCTTCAGCATCCTTTTTACGCTTTCTGGTTTGTCTTTTAGGACTTGGAGGGATCCACGGTTTGGTGTTGATGGAGGATGAAGAGGAGGAACTGGAGGACAGACACCTGAGCAAAGCTATTTTGGAGATGCTGCACATAAATAAGCTGTCAGCGCCTCAGCAGGCAAAACCACACCCCTATATGAGACACGTTTATCAGTCTCTGGACACACAGGCGAGAGAACAGAGCGCTGCTGATGGGATGCTGGTGCAGAGTTTCAGGAGTGTTGAAGGTAAGGGTACATATATTTTTATGCTGACATTCTTTTAAATACTAAATATAGGTTTATTAGGCAAGTCATTGGACAACCTTGAGTATTTGTAAGTAGTTACTGTACTTTACACCACTGCCTATCTGGCTCTTACAGGAACACTGCACGTTTTTGTAAATAGCCTCATTGTATATCTCCTCTAGAGGTAAACAGTTGAGTTGTACCATTTTTGAATCCATTAAGCCGATCTCCGAGTTTTACACTTTTAGCTTAGCTTAGCATAAATCATTGAATCGGATTAGACCATTAGCATCTCACTCATAAATGAACAAGAGTCATTCTGTATTCTGAATCTTCTGTAGTTACATCACTACAAATTCCTTGATTATTATGCCATATATAGTGACAGTATAGTTCCTAGACATGACAGTATAGTTCCTAGCTATATCAGCTTAGAAAATAGCACCTTTTCGTTTTCCGTCAGCCTCAGTACACAATGAAACTAAGGAAGAGTCAAGCTTTTAATAGGAATTTAAGGTATAATTTAATAAAAGGAATAGATTTAAATAGGAATAGATATTAGCAAGATGCTAATGGTCTAATCCGATTCAATGATCTATGCTAAGCTAAGCTAAAAGTGCTCCTGGCAGACGCAGAGATCAGCTGAATGGATATAAAAATTATAAAACTCAACCCTTTAACTTGGGAGTGTAAAATGAGCCTATTTCCAACATAAGCATAGCATTCCTTTAAAAGTTAGCTCAAGTTCATTTCATTCATTCACTTTCTTGTCAGCTTAGTCCCTTTATTAATCCGAGGTTGCCACAGCGGAATGAACCACCAACTTATCCAGCGCGTTTTTACACAGCTGATGCCATTCCAGCCGCAACCCATCTCTGGGAAAAATTAGCTCAAGTTATTTGTTCAAATTTCTATACAGATGCTAATAGTCTAATCTGATTCAATGATCTATTCTACGCTAAGCTGAAAGTGCTCCTGCAAGACCCAGAGATCTGCTGAATGGATTCAAAAATGGAAAAACTCAACCCTTTAACTTGGGCGTGTAAAATGAGCCTATTCTCAAAATAAGCGTAGCATTAATTTAAAATTTAGGTCAATTTATTTGTTCAAATCTCTACAGATGCTAATGGTCTAATCCGATTCAATAATCTATGCTAAGCTAAGCTAAAACTGCTCCTGCAAGACCCGAAGATTGTCTAAATGGATTCAAAAATGGTAAAACTCAACTCTTTAACTTGATGGGTATGTAAGAGGCTTTTTAAAACATTCTCGGAGATAAAACATGGACTGGTTTTTGTATTTAGTAGTGACTAAATTAACTCCAAGAGTGTTATAAATTCCACCACTGCTATCTTCCTGCATCACAGACAAGCGATCACATGTCTGGCTTTAAAAATAATGCAGATCAGTTTATTAGGGAAAGAAATAATTGAATAAAAATGTTTCATTATCCTAAATTGAAGTTACAGAAGATGCGGATAAATATTTTAGACTTGACGACATTTAAACAGTGATATTGGCTATAGGTCACTAATTAAATTGTCCAGAGAGCACCCTCACTAGCATAGGAAAATTAAGTCAGAGCAGCCTAGGAACTCATGGTGAGTGTTGAAGCTGGCTTCTGCTGATGAAACTGCAAACTATCTTCAGTAAACTTTATTTATTTATTTGAATCTCTGACTCCGGCTCTTCTTCATCTGACAGACTGGTCATTCTTTTGGTCAAAACTGAACTTAATCCTTACAAACTCTAGGGGAGTGTAAAATGAGCCTAAATAAGTGTATAAGTCCTTCAAAAGTTAGCTTAATTTATTTGTTCAAACCTCTACAGATGCTAATAGTCTAATCTGATTCAATGATCTATGCTAAGCTAAGCTAAAAGTGCTCCTGCAAGACCCGAAAACTGGCTGAATGGATTCAGAAATAGCAAAACTCAACACTTTAACTCCAGGGAAGTGTAAAATGAGCCTATTTCCAAAATAAGCGTAGCATTTCTGCAATATTTAGGTCAAATTCTTTGTTCAAATCTCTACAGATGCTAATGGTCTAATCCAGTGGTCACCAAACTTGTTCCTGAAGGGCCGGTGTCCTGCAGATTTTAGCTCCAACCCTAATCAAACACAACTGAACAAGCTATTAATCAAGGTCTTACTAGGTGTACTTGAATCATCCAAGCAGGTGTGTTGAGGCAAGTTGGAGCTAAACCCTGCAGGGACACTTGCCCTCCAGAACCGAGATTGGTGACCCCTGGTCTAATCCAATTCAATGATCTATGCTAAGCTAAAAGTTCTCCCGTAAGACCCGGAAATCAGTTGAATGGATTAAAAAAAATGGTAAAACTCAAGTCTTTAACTCTAGTTTAGTGAAAATTAGCCTATTTTCAAAATATAGCATACCTTGGAAATTTAGGTCAATTTATTTGTTCAAATCTCTACAGATGCTAATGGTCTAATCCAATTTAATAATCTACTAAGCTAAGCTAAAAGTGTTCCTGCCAGATGCAGAGATCTGCTGAATGGATAAAAGAAATGGTAAAACTTGACTCTTCAACTCTAGGGGAGTGTGAAATTAACATATTTTAAAAATAAGCGTAGCATTCCTTTCAAATTTTAGGTCGTTATTTGTTCAAATCTTTATAGATGCTAATGGTCTAATCCAATTTAATGAACTATGCTAAGCTAAGCTAAAAGGGCTCTGCAAGACCAAGAGATCGGCTAAATGGATTAAAAAAAAACTCTTTAACTTTAGGGGAGTGTAAAATGAGCCTAAAATAAGTGTAGCATTTAGGTCAATTTATTTGTTCAAATCTCTACAGATGTTAATGGTCTAATCTGATGGAATAATCTTTAATAAGCTAAGCTAAAAATGTTCCTGCAAGACCCGAAGATTGCCTTAATGGATTCAAAATTGGTAAATCGAACTCTTTTAACTCTATGGGAGTGTAAAATCAGCCTATATACACGTAGCATTCCTTGAAAAGTAGCTCAAGTTATTTGTTCAAATCTCTACAAACGCTAATAGTCTAATCTGATTCAATGATCAATGCTAAGCTAAGCTAAAAATGCTCCTGCAAGACCCAAAGATCTGCTGAATGGATTCAAATATAGCAAAACTCAACCCTTTAACCCCAGGGGACTGTAAAATGAGCCTATTTCCAAAATAAGCGTAGCATTTCTTCAAGATTTTGGTCAAATTATTTGTTCAAATCTCTACAGATGCTAATGGTCTAATCTACTTTAATGATCTATGCTAAGCTACGCTAAAAGTGCTCCTGCAAGACTTTTTCTACTTTCATGTGTACTTTAAAGTATCTTTTTGCCTTTTCCCGAATAAGATTCAAAGTACGGCACCCCAGGATGGATCTGGTTCAACACGTCCCAGCTGAGTCCCTTCATGAGGGTTGCAGAGCTGGTGCTCCTGAGGAAAACTCTTTATCACCGGCCGCTCAGTGTGACAGTCACAGTACACAGTCTTTCACCAGGAGCAGAAAACCTGAGCATCAGTGGCCCTCTTGCAGAGCACTTACTAAGCCTGGACCGACTGCCTCCATCAGGCTACGATGTTTTCGATGTGACGGCAGCATTAAACCAACCATCTCAAAACTCGGATATATTAGGCTTCCAGCTTCGGTTTGAGGATGAGAGCGGCAGTCTGGTCCTCCATGAAGCCCTCACTCAGAGCCTCTACTGCCTGAATGGCAGCTCTGTCAGCCAGCCACTATTGGTGGCGTACAGGAGCGGATCTATGGAGCTTCATCAGGGATCTTCCGGAGTGGGTTCAGACCACAAACAAAGGCAGCGAATAGACAGCGAGAGACAGCGAATACATCTGCGGCACGGGAGACATGTAGGCGCATGCAGACTCTATGTGCATCATGTCAGTCTTCACACGAGCAAGCTGAGTCAATGGATTCTACAGCCGTCCAACTTCAGCATAAGCATTTGTAGGTATGATCTGGCTGTGGGTCATAAGTGGGGGTTGGGAACACTATGTAAAAGTTTGAGAATGTGAAAAATAAGTGCACTTATCTGGATTAGATTTGAAGTGCACTGCAAGCGTACAAGGGTGGCACAGTGGTTCAGTAGTTAGCACTGTCACCTCACAATAAGAAGGTTGCTAGGTTCGAGTCCTGGCTGGGCCAGCTGGCCTTTCTGAGTTTGCATGTTCTCCTCATGTTGGCGTGGGTTTCCACCAGGTGCTCCGGTTTCCCTAACAGTCCAAACACATGCAATATAGGTGAATTGGATGAACTAAATTGTCTGTAGTGTACGATTGAATGTGTCTAGGTGTTTCTTAATACTGGGTTGCGGCTAGAAGGACATCCGCTGCCTAAAACATGCTGGAGTAGTTGGCGGTTCATTCCGCTGTGGCGACCTCTGAAATAGAGCCATTTACACAGGTCAGCGTCATTGCTTCCCATTCACTTTGAATGGGTGACGTCAGGCGTTGCCGAACTGCATTGTGGATCCGTCGGCATCGCTTCAGGAGTTGCTCGCTGCAGAAGTTGGGACTAGCTCAACTTTTCAAGCGCCGACGGAAGCATCAGCCAATCATATCGCTGTATGCAAATACACCAGCAAGACAGTGGCCTATTGCTGAATGAATTTCATTGGCTGACGCTGCTATGACGATCGCTTCAGCCCCAACTTCAGACACGCCTTTAGTCAAGCCTTGACGCTGAACCCCCGTGTGAATGGGGCGTAAGCCAAAGGAAAATGAATGAATGACTGCAAGTGTACATATTTACTCATTATTTACTCACACTCAACTGTTTTAAAACTTTTATGAATTTCTTTTTTTCTGGGTAACACAAAACAAGATGAAAAAACAGCCATCAACAGCCATAGCAGGAATGAAACCTAATGTATTTGAGATTGTCAAAAATGTATGCTGTGCCCTCTAAAAATCGCAAGAAATTATAGTGCAGTGTACATACTTGTCAGTTCTCAGAAATGTAGCCCTGGACACATATTTCCAATGAGCCTGGCTTGCAAAAATACTATGAAAGTCAATGGCTGTTTTTTCCAATATTCTAAGGGTTGGTGAGATAGACTTGTATTCTGAAGCTTGCTGGTTCGATTCCTGTCCCTGGCAGGAACTGGAGGTCCACAAAATGGTTACCATGATTTTAGTATTATTAATTTCATGTGATATCCAGAACCAGATTGACCTTAGGCAAAGCATATTTTTAATGCTTACACCAAAATAACGATAATAATAATTTAAATGGATTTTTTTTCACCATGTTGTATCTCTGTCCCCACTTAGAGGGATACCGCTGTGGCCTGAAGTTCTTTCATCCATTCATTTTCTTTTCGGCTTAGTCCCTTTATTCATCTGGGGTCGCCATAGCGGAATGAACCACCAATTTATCCAGCATATGTTTTACGCAGCTGATGCCCTTTTAGCTACAGCCCATCACTGGGAAACACCCATACACTCTCATCTTATTCACATCTACCCCAACCCTCACTTTAACAAAAATTATTTAATTTAATTTAATTTAATTTAATTTAATTTAATTTAATTTAATTTAATTTAATTTAATTTAATTTTATTTTATTTTATTTTATTTTATTTTATTTTATTTTATTTTATTTTATGTTTTTGAAATAAAATCCAACAATGCTCTATTTATTTGATCATAAATATTGTGATATATTATTACACAAGTCAAAGTAGAAATTTTAAAAAGCAATTAAATTTGCAGCATTTTGTGAATTAAATTAAATTAAATTAAATTAAATTAAATTAAATTAAATTAAATTAAATTAAATTAAATTAAATTAAATTAAACTGAATTAAATTAAACTGAATTAAATTAAACTGAATTAAATTAAATTAAATTAAATTAAATTAAATTAAATTAAATTAAATTAAATTAAATTAAAATTTTAACCAAAACATTTTTGGTTAAATACTTTTGTTAGATTTAAATTAATTTTATTGTATTGCTTTGTTAAATGTTTTTCGGAAGAAGTCCCAATAATTATGCATTTATTTGATCAAAAATACTGTATTACTGTAAAAATATCAATACACAATTCAAAGTAGAAATTTTAAACTTGCAGCTGAATTTTATGAAACCTAAAAAATTAAGTTGTCATAAACAAATCTCATTTTAAATAAGCAGAATGCCTGTGCATAAATCCAGCACAGGTGATAGCCTTGATAAACCCTAATTCTGCCCTGTCTGTGTGCTTTTTTTTCAGAGGTATCTGTCTGAAAGAAACGTCTATGACTGTTCAAAGACAAAGAAAACACCAGAAAGAGAATGAATCACTTCAAAGGTGCGTTCAATCTCCTCTGTGGCTTTTTATAGTTATAAATTACTCAGGTTTGAGCGCGCAGGTTTGACCCTGAAACTGTCTTCAATTATTTTCTAGATCAGCCTGCACTCCTCAAGGCCTGTCGTCTCTCATCGTGATGTACAGCAGCGACACTGCCGACATTATTATAAAGGAGCTGAAGGATATGAGAGCAGAGAGATGCGAGTGTCAGTCAACGGCTCAATGAAAGCCACTGTTGTCATCCAGAAAATGCAGTTTGTCATGTATCTGATAGACGCATGTGAACCCACAGGTTTCTATGTTGGTCATGATACTTGATTTGATAAAGAATAACAACTGCTTATAATAATACACAAACTAGAACATTCTCATTGCTTTAGTGAAAATGTTAACACTCACAATGCAGCAAGCTTTTCGACCAAATATTTGCTGTAATCTTGGCTCATAAAATGCACAATGATATTTATAGAAATGTTTGAGTTTTGTTTTAACAAAATTCCTTAAATGTTGTTCTTAAAAATTCAGTTATTTAAATGTATTTTATTTTTTATTATTTGTTAAATACTTTTGGAAGATTTTCTTTCATTTTATTTATATTTTTGGAGGAAATCCCAACAACGCTGAATTTATTTGATCATAAATACAGAAATTTTGTGAAATATTATTACACAATTCAAAGTATAAAACTTTTAAACATGCTGTTAAATTGGCAGCAATTTGTGAATTTTTTTAATTAAATTAAATTAAATTAAATTAAATTAAATTAAATTAAATTAAATTAAATTAAATTAAATTAAATTAAATTAAATTAAATTAAATTAAATTAAATTAAATTAAACTGCTCAATGAAAGCCACTGCTCACATCCAGAAAATGCGAACCACAAAAAGAACCCAATATTTCCTCTAATCTTGGCTTATAAAATGCACAATGATGATTTTCACACAACCATTTGAGTTCTGTTTCAGCAATATTCTTTAAAAGTTTTTCTTGAAAATTCATTTATTTTATTTTATTTTTTGGTTACATTCTTAGGAAGATTTTATTTTATTTTATTTTATTATTTATTTATTTTATGTTTTTGGAATAAAATCCAACAATGCTCTATTTATTTGATCATAAATATTGGGAAATATCAATACACAATTCAAAGTAGAACTTTTAAAAAGCAATTAAATTTGCAGCATTTTGTGAATTAAATTTAATTTAATTTAATTAAAAATTCATTTTGTTTTATTTTGTTTTATTTTATTTACATTTTTGGTTAAATACTTTTGTTAGATTTAATTTTATGTTATTATAGATTTTGTTAAATGTCTTCGAAAAAAAGTCTGTACAATTATGCCTTTATTTAATCAAAAATACAGTAATATTGTGAAATATCATTACACAATTCAAAGTAGAAATTTTAAACATGCAGCTGAATTTGCAGCATTATATTTCATAAAAAAAAGAGAAAAAACACTATAACATTTTCATTGCTTTATTAAATATTTGAACACTTACATATGCTGCTAATATTTTCACTAGTTATGTCCTGTAATCATTTATTTCCAGCAATATTCACTAAAAGTTTTTGATTAAATTCATTTTAATTTATTTTATTTCATTTATTTAATTTTTTTTTTATTTTAAAAATGCACAATAATGCTGTTTACTGTTTGAGTTCTGTTCCAGCAATTTTTTTATTTTTGGTTAAATGTTTTTGGAAAATTTCATTTAATTTAATTTTATTTGATTTTATTTGATCACTGCACTGTTTCATTGCTTTATTAAAACTGTAAACATTTCCTGTAATTGTGGCTAATAAATGATCAGATGATGTTTCCACCATTTCTTTTTACAGAACTGTTTTAGTTCAGCAGTATCCTTTAATGTTTGTGTTTACATACAATTTGTTTAATTATGTTAAATATTTCTGTGATTTCACACCTTGATATACCCACTTTTTGAGTTCACACTTGATATAATATATGGCAAAAATAATATATGATTTATGCATATAGATTGTCAAGATACGTTCAGGTTTAGGCCTGAAAAATAAATGAATAAAACCATACTGTAAAAGTTATAACATTAAATGTATACTGATTCAAGCTGTTAGCATCATTGCGTAGGTCTTCACTCTTAAATAATATGCTGATTTAGTGCTCAATTATTGTCTGTTTTTATTGCATCAAAATTGAAAACAGCTTAGTTTTGCTGGGATTATTTTGCCGTGGGTTTGCTCCGGTGTCCCCCACAGTCCAAACACATGCGCTATAGGTGAATTGAATAACCTAAATTGGCCGTAGTGTATGAGTCTGAATGTGAGAGTGTATGAGGGTTTTGCAGCTGGACGGAAATTCGCCTTGTAAAACATGCTGGATAAGTTGGCGGTTCCTTCCGCTGTGGTGACCCCTGATGAATAAAGCGACTTAGCCGAAGGAAAATGAATGAATAATATTCACCAATATCAGTTTTAGCTGCATTTTTCATTGAATAAATTCAGTGAACAATGTAAGAGTTTTGAAAAACATTTGATTTCTTTATTATTGCAAACATATTGTCAGACAATTATTATTAGGCAATTTGCACAGTATAAAAATATAAAAGAAAATGTAAAGAGTGTTGCAGGTGCACTTTTGCCCACAGGATGTCATAATAGAGCAAATAAAAATAAAAAACGTGTGTTAAAAACAAAATGATTAACCCTCCCGTTACAGTAAATAAAATATAATAATTCAATGACGTTTAATTAAGTGAATTTTTCATTAGTCAATAATCAATGGACAGCAGTGGTTTGTTCTGCACCCAATCAAAACGAAAAGTAACTGAAGAGCACCAATAATATTGGCCATAGTTAACAAATTAATATATAATATATATAAGATATACATAAAAACACAACAAATTCACAGGAGCTAATAATTTTGACCTTTAACTGTATATGCCATGTATTTTTACTGCTCATCTGGGCATTGTTATATTTTAAACCCCATATACACTCAAGCAAGAGTGTTTTGAGCAGATTAAAGTGTATGTAAAGAGCCATTTGAATTGCTTTTGAGTCTTTGCATTTGAAAGAAATTGGAAAGACTGCTGCCTCTAATATTAAGAAAGACATGGCAAAGAGAGGAATTTGAAAAGCATCAACCTGTGCTAGAGTGTCCTTTCACATGATTGTGTCAGCAGATAACACATTTCCAATATTACAAATAACAGCGGAGCAAAGGGTACGTCTGACTTCTGTGTAAAAAATGCATGCTGGTTTACATTTTTTAGCCGAATCAGTTTACTTTTTTAGTCATCGCAACTTACAGTACATCAGTCAAACTGACTCAAAATCATGTCAAAATTTGCATAACTTAAAAAAAGATTTGCTGAAACCTGATTGACTTATTAAGGTAGGTGAAAGCAACTTAAAAACATTTGTTGTCTTGGCTTTTTGCCATTACATTTTAACAGTGAATTCATTTTAAATTGTTAATAAGCTTGACATTTTAGCTCTAAAACTGCTATTATATTCTCTCAAACATTCATGAAAGAATACTATAGTAATTAAAATTTTATTTATACCGTGTTTTTATTTATATTAAAGTGTATTATGGTATATTTGCTAATATCAGCCAATATTAATATCCTTGAACTACAACAAATACTGTAATATTTTTGTTTTTACTGTAAACTGTGGTGTATTATATATATATATATATATAGGTGCTGCATTACTAAAGTGACCACAACAGATTAATTAAAATGGAGTAACTCTACTACACTACGATCAATTATGACAGCATATGATTTTAGTTCATTGTAACTAAGTTGTTAAACTAAGTTAATCATGTTCTAACTTAATTTTATAAGTTACACCAGGTGTTTTAAGTCAGTTCAACATAAGTTGAACGGACTCATAATGTTCAATTGATTCAACTTAAAAATGTAAGGCAACCAGGATTTCTTTAACAGTGTAGGTTGTTGTTCAAAAACATTATAAATACAATGTAAATTAATATCCAAGTATTTTTAAGTGGGTACAACAATTATTTTACAGATAAAATGTTTTTACTACAGTAAACTGTCATGTATTATAGTATAATATAACATATGTGTAGAACTTAGCGTATTGGCTAATTTGTTTATAGCCTAGTTGTTACCACATCAACCACAACATAATAATTAAAATATGATATAATACTTCAAAAACACAGTATTTACTATGGTATTTCATTCACAGTTCACTGTTAAAGAGAAGTTTTATCTAACCATGTTCTTTGTAAGCTACTGCATAAACCTTGTTTCAAATTACAGCCTACATCGGTAGTTGCTAGAAGAGATACAGCTACGGACAAAAAATATTTATATTATTTATTAAATTTTTCATTAATGTCTACCCCTAGTCCAATCGTAAACCCAACCATCACAGAATTGTAAAAACTGTAATTATACCGACCAATATTTATTGGTATTACTTATTAAATTACCCATTAAATTGTATTTTATTAACGGCCACTAAAACAACCCTTACTGTAATGTAAAAGCAGTAATTATTTTAGAGTATTATTCATTTAATTTATTAAATTACACTTATTAAATTGTATTTTATTAACGACCCCTATCTAACCCAAACACAACCCTCATGTAAAAACAGCATAGAGTATTATTCAACTTATTTATTAAATTACCAGTTAAATTGTATTTCATTAACGTCTAGGCTACCCCAACCCCAAAATCCAACTCTCACAATAATGTAAAAATTGTAATTATTGTTGTACAGTGTCACAAAAAGGACGCTATTTTCTACGTGAGTATCCGCAGCTGTATCCCTTTTAGACTTTACCCCAACTATCTGAGCGAAAACCCCTTATGCGCGTGCTCGTGAAGGGGAGGGAATCTTTGTGGGGGAGGATTGAGGCAACGCTGATTGGCTCCTGGTGCTGTCAATCAAAGCAGCCATGTCAAGTGAAAAAAAGAGCGATGTGAACTAATAACGGTGCAGAAGGAGCCGTTATTTCGAGACATTCAGCGTTAAACTCCGCGGGTTTGTTCATCAATGACAGTCAGAGTCGTGTGTAATGTAGGCACCGTCGATGTGGGTTAGCATTATGCTTCTTTTACGCGGCTAACAACATTACCGGGACACTTTGACGTTGATGTAATAATAAGCGAACTGAACCTGCTTCGCGTTTAATGTTAGCCGGCAGTTTTGTGCTGGAAATAAACGAGCCAATGATGACCGGAAAGCATTACAAGGGTCAAGAAGTCAGCTGCTGCATCAAGTACTTCATATTTGGATTTAACATTATATTTTGGGTAAGAGCTCGCCACCGTTTCTTTGTTTATAATAGGCTGTCATTGGCTGTGAATGTGATGTATGGGTATTTGCGCTCGTGCTAAATTCACATCCTTTGTTTGTGTGTTTGAAATACAAGAAGCCGCGCATGAACTGTGATGTTTATCGATTCAGTTCAATGCAATCGATAATTCGGCTTTGATGATGCATGAATCTCGTGTCTTTGGCATCTTCCATCCGTTTATCTCAGATGTTCATGACAGCAGTGAGTCAAGTGCGTACTATAGATAATCGGCTTTCTGTCTTCTGTGAAGCGATGCATTGACTGTACTGTACTGTACTGTATATATGAACGAACACATGGAGCCTCTGTCCTGGATTGCATGCAATATCCGGAGATTATTATTATTATATGGGGACTGTAGAAATGCAGTGCTCCAATAACCTGGTTTTACTTTTTTTTTCTTGCATTTTTTAGCATTTTGTTATAGTAATAGTATTTTTCTTCTTTAAGTTGACATTTTAATTAAAAACCAAAACTAGATTGAATGTAATACTCCAAGAACCTTGTTTTACTTTTTTTTTTTACATTTTGTTTCAAAAGTATTTTATCTTTAAATTATCATTATTTGAATTAAAAATCAAAACTGGATTTAATGCAATATGCAGAGATTATTATTATTGTTATTATTATTATTATTGTTATTATTATTATTATTATTGTTATTATTATTATTATAAAATGAATGTAGATTTTTGACATTTTGTTCTAATAATTTTAGATCATCTTTAACATAAAATTAACATTTTAATTACAAACTAGAATTGATTCGAAACTAGAATCTAAACTAGATTGAATGCAATATTCGTAGTTTATTATTATTATTATTATTATTTGTATATCATGTCTTTATTAAGTTTATTTTTCTATTTCAAGGTATTACAACAATTTAAACTCTAATACCCAAAACTTACCCCAGACAGGCTCAGGGAAAAAAAAAATCTAAATTAAATAATGATCCTTATTTAAAAAAGAAAAAAAAACATTAAAATAAAATAATATTAAAATTAATTAATTAAAATAAAAAGAATTCCAATCAAGCACCAATTTCAACCAAGTTCAAAAACACCTCCTAGAAATCACAAAATTCAGAGGATTTTTCCTTATTATATATGTGAGCTTTTCAAGAGCCAAACATGTTATTAGGATTCTCAACCGAAGTCCAATGGTGGGGCGATTAACATTTTTCCAACATAAAGCAATACAACGCCTTTATTATTATTATTATTATTATTATTATTATTATTATTATTATTATTATTATTATTATTGATTATGTTGAATTCAACATTACACTTTATTTGGTAAAAAAAAATCTAGTTTCTCTTAATAAATCTACTAAAAGACAGAAAATATTACTTTACAAACTGTATTGTAAATAAATCATATGAACATTTTTATATTAGTCAATAATATTACTGAAATTAATTTAAAAACTGTGTAAATATGTATTTACACAAATAAATAAACAGAATCAATGATGGGCTAAAAATCTGCGGAAGTCTGTGGGCGCAGATTCCGTGTGGGCCTACTGATCGGTGCTCTCATCATTTATTCAAATGGGTGCATCTGCAAACCACGCACCTCTATTGGAAAAACGAACTTGTGCGAACTGAAAGCGTAATGCGAACAACCCCTAAAAGGCCACTGTCACTTTGCAATCTCCAGCAGTTGATCTTCTTCATGCACAGACTGTCACATCCGTCTGTGACCACCTGAGGGCGCTGTAGCGCTCTAGGACTTGTAGGCGCTACAGTGCCCCAGGGAAAAAACTACATTCTCATACATCCCACGCGCATACACCGGAACACTTACACTGACCCGTCATCTCATCTGTTTTGTGTTACCGTTGATTATCTGGACTATATATTCTACCATTCCACCTATGTTTGTCATCGCGTCGTTGTCTACCTTGTCTTCCTTGTTCAAGCTCCAGTAAGTCTTAGATTCCAGTTTGTATTTCTGATCCTGTTCTCGTATGTTTTGCATTAGTCTAGTTCGTGTGTCGTTTGTCTAGTCTGTTTTCTAATTAGGTTTAGTTGTTTGAGTTTGTTTTTTTTTCCTGAGCCTCGTCTCTGATTTAGTTTCTGGTTTTGTCGTTTATTTGTTACTTTGTATTATCACCTTGTTGGCTGCACTGTAAATAAATAATCTGCACTTGGATCCGCACCTTTCTGTTTTTTGTTTATTGTTTTTGATCACGCTATATCGTGACAGAACGACGCGATCAATAAATGGATCCAGCAGACAATATAATAGTGCGCCTTAAACAAGGTGATCGCTCTATTGAGCGATATATAAAGGAGTTTTTGCAATTAGCTGCGAAGAGCTCTCACAGTGACATCTTGCTAATGATGTTTTTTCGGGGAGGACTTTTGGAACCCGTCCGGTCACGCATGCCGCCATACGAGGATGACTGGAACCTGTATCGGTTTGTGGAGGAGGCTTTGCTAATCGCTGGCTCCCCCCTCTCTGTTGCCTTGAAGGAGGAGAACCCTCAGGAGGGAGGCCTGAGTAGATGGCAACAGAGAGGGATATTTTCGGGGCCAGCTGATTTAACTAAAGGAAAGAGGAGAGAGGCAGGACTGGAGTTGCGGGCTTATCCGCGTCGGGCTGTTCGGAGACCACCCTTTTCGGAGCCTCTGGAGAGCCTGCTAGAACTGTGTGGAACGCCAGTGTCGGCTCCAGCCCCAGAATGCCCGCCAGTGTCGGCTCCAGCTCCAGAGCAAGATCCCTCTCCTGATCACAACACTCTCCCTTCTCAAACCACCAGACGAAGGAGGCACAGGAAGAGGACTGCCCATGTCCCAGAGCGCCCGCCAGTGTCGGCTCCAGCCCCAGAGCACCCGCCAGTGTCGGCTCCAGCCCCAGAGCGCCCGCCAGTGTCGGCTCCAGCCCCAGAGCGCCCGCCAGTGTCGGCTCCAGCCCCAGAGCGCCCGCCAGTGTCGGCTCCAGCCCCAGAGCGCCCGCCAGTGTCGGCTCCAGCCCCAGAGCGCCCGCCAGTGTCGGCTCCAGCCCCAGAGCGCCCGCCAGTGTCGGCTCCAGCCCCAGAGCGCCCGCCAGTGTCGGCTCCAGCCCCAGAGCGCCCGCCAGTGTCGGCTCCAGCCCCAGAGCGCCCGCCAGTGTCGGCTCCAGCCCCAGAGCGCCCGCCAGTGTCGGCTCCAGCCCCAGAGCGCCCGCCAGTGTCGGCTCCAGCCCCAGAGCGCCCGCCAGTGTCGGCTCCAGCCCCAGAGCGCCCGCCAGTGTCGGCTCCAGCCCCAGAGCGCCCGCCAGTGTCGGCTCCAGCCCCAGAGCGCCCGCCAGTGTCGGCTCCAGCCCCAGAGCGCCCGCCAGTGTCGGCTCCAGCCCCAGAGCGCCCGCCAGTGTCGGCTCCAGCCCCAGAGCGCAGTCCAATGCCAGTTCCAGTCTGGCTTCTGGCCTTACCGGCGCCACCCAGGCTCCTCGCCCTGCCGGCGCCACCCAGGCTCCTCGCCCTGCCGGCGCCACCCAGGCTCCTCGCCCTGCCGGCGCCAGCCCCAGAGCGCAGTTCAATGCCGGTTCCAGTCCGGCTCCTGGCTTTACCGGCGCCACTCAAGCTCCTCGCCCTGCCGGCGCCACCCAGGCTCCTCGCCCTGCCGGCACCACCCAGACGTCTTGCCCTGCCGGCCCCAACCCGGCTCCTCGCCCTGCCGGTCCCAGCCCGGCTCCTGGCATTACCAACGCCATCCAGACGTCTTGCCCTGCCGGCACCTCCCAGACGTCTTGCCTTGCCGGTCCCAGTCCGGCTCCATGCCCTGCCGGCTCCAGTCCAGCTGCCTCCTGTCCCGCCGGCTCCAGTCCAGCTGCCAGTCCCGCCGGATCCAGTCCAGCTGCCTCCAGTCCCGCCGGCTCCAGTCCAGCTGCCTCCAGTCCCGCCGGCTCCAGTCCAGCTGCCTCCAGTCCCGCCGGCTCCAGTCCAGCTGCCTCCAGTCCCGCCGGCTCCTGCCCAGCTGCTTCCAGTCCCGCCGGCTCCTGCCCAGCTGCTTCCAGTCCCGCCGGCTCCTGCCCAGCTGCCTCCAGTCCCGCCGGCTCCTGCCCAGCTGCCTCCAGTTCCGCCTGCTCCAGTCCAGTTGCCTCTCCAGCCGGCTCTCCTAAAACCCCCTGCCTTGTGCCTCCTGCGGGATCATCCATGGGTCATCCCTCCCGACCCTCCCTGGTGGTCCTTCCCACTACTTGGGACAGATTCACCGGCCGCACCCTGGCTTCCTGCTGGGGTGCCTGACCCACTGCCTGACCCTGATCTGGCCCTCCCATCCCTCCCTTTGTTCCTGCTCCGCTCCGCCCCCCCTCTTGGAACCAGTCTGGGAGCGTCTGGAAGCCGCTCTTTAGAGGGGGGGTAATGTCACATCCGTCTGTGACCACCTGAGGGCGCTGTAGCGCTCTAGGACTTGTAGGCGCTACAGTGCCCCAGGGAAAAAACTACATTCTCATACATCCCACGCGCATACACCGGAACACTTACACTGACCCGTCATCTCATCTGTTTTGTGTTACCGTTGATTATCTGGACTATATATTCTACCATTCCACCTATGTTTGTCATCGCGTCGTTGTCTACCTTGTCTTCCTTGTTCAAGCTCCAGTAAGTCTTAGATTCCAGTTTGTATTTCTGATCCTGTTCTCGTATGTTTTGCATTAGTCTAGTTCGTGTGTCGTTTGTCTAGTCTGTTTTCTAATTAGGTTTAGTTGTTTGAGTTTGTTTTTTTTTCCTGAGCCTCGTCTCTGATTTAGTTTCTGGTTTTGTCGTTTATTTGTTACTTTGTATTATCACCTTGTTGGCTGCACTGTAAATAAATAATCTGCACTTGGATCCGCACCTTTCTGTTTTTTGTTTATTGTTTTTGATCACGCTATATCGTGACACAGACATACTAGATTCACCTGATTTGTTGACTAATGGGTTGTAGATTTTTTCATTCCCGGGTCCTTCACAGGACCTTT